ATTCGTTAATGTTCATGATGCCAGATCCGATGTGTTTGATATACTATCGGGAGTTCCACAAGGGAGCCACTTAGGACTTCTTATTTTCGTTTTATTTATTAACGTCGTGTGTGACCACTTAAGTTCCTTCAAGTTGTTATATTCTGATGATTTGAAAGTCTACCGTGTGATCAAATCGATCCTAGATTTTTTGCTCTACAAACTGACATTGAGCTAGTTGATTCTATTAAAGATCTTGGACTTATCTTGAATAGAAAACTAAGATTCAACGAGCACATATCTAGGTCAATTGCAAAGGCTTGGATTCCTGCGTCGCAATGCTTCGCAATTCGATGATGTGCACGCTTTGAAAACATTGTAATGCTCCTTGGTTCGTAGTGTTCTTGAACTTAGAGTACAAATCTGGGCTCCATATCTTGCTGTGCACAAACCGCGCAACAAAAAAAAAATTCAGAAACGTTTTGTCAGAATCGCCTTACGACAGCTTCCATGGACAGCTAATTGAACTGCAAACACTATCGAGTCGCCGAATCTTCCTGCAGAGACTATTTATTTTTGACTGCAGTAGTGTGCTCCGGGCTATCAACTTCCACGCTCCAGTCCATCGTCTCCACAATGCGTACCTTTTGTGCACTCCTGGACACCGTACTGCTTTTGACTATAACAATCCACTCGACAAATATTGCAGACTGTTCAATGATGTATGTGATGCTAGTTTTTGAGAATAGAATTAAGTCCCGATAATTCAGTGTGTGGCTCCAATGCCAAAGATGGTGATTATAAATAAAACATACTTGACTCCATGTATGCGGTTTCCATACATGCTGTCTGCATTGGACGCACTCTTGGAGTGATAGCTGTATGATCTGTTCATTGAGGACCCAAACAGTCAATCTGTTTACCTGATCTGGCAATAACAAGAGCAGCAACTACGGGAGGATAATCAAGCTAAAGAGCAGTACGACACGACACCCTTGTTTAAAATGTAATCTTTTAATTCAAACACAAACATTCTTTGCAAATCCCTCCTTCACCATAAACATCACTTCCGCAATCTACATTCCCCCCTGCAATGAAATGATCAATATTTAACCAGATTCTGATTTATTTCCGTTCCGATTCTCTTTCTTCCGCAGCACGCTACAAAGGAATCTCTCTGCTCCCAGCATCGGGACTGCTCAACGGTAAGAAATCATCTCGTTACTATTGTATACACGAACCGCTCTATCCCGTTCCCCCCATCCCCACCCACCGTTGTTGCTTGTCACATTCTCAGGTGCAACATTTTATAGCAGCCGAGCACTTTACACAAAACGATCAAAGAGAACCCAGAAACGCGAACGACTCTTCCCGGGAAAAGCGGATCTCGGTTCCTCTGCGTTCGATATTTTAAACTGATGTATTATTTATTTCAACACCCATCAGCCAATACCGGGGGAACTGGTCTGGTCTGGTCCGATCTGGTCTGATGGTGCTGCTTTTACGAGCATTGTTGCTATTCCACGAATCCACAAATGTTGTTTTTTTCCGCGGAAAATCGTGCGTTACATTGTGGCATCAGCAGCCGTTTGTTTTCCCTCATCGACACCTGGTGGAAGGGAAAATTGGAAATTGTTTTGGGAAATGTTTCTCCCGCGTTTTATGGATGGAGGGCTTTCTCCGAAACGATTTCCCGTTTGATCAACTGGTGTAAAACACCCTCGCTTGGTTTTGTTTCATCACATGAAAATTATAATTTAATCAACTTTGTGTAGCAAAGCCATCCTTCCGAATAAAGTGCCGCTCGTTTAGGCGAGAGCAAGGTGACTTTGATGGTTCAAGGTGTTTCGAACAAACGAAAGCTGCAAAGCACCTTCCTATCTTCCATCCACCTTGACCGCGGCAAGCAAGAGAAGCATTATCGATTACCCCAACTCTCGTGCAGGAAGGTCATAAAAAGAATGCTCTTCGTTTTGTTCATACTGCAGCAGGAATCTGAACCTTTGCGTCGCTCGGAGAGGTGTCATACTCGGAAATCGTAAAAGAAAACAACATCAACCAAATATGTAGGTACCTCTCCTGTCGTGTCGTCGCAGGGTCGCTGCATCCCCGGGCCAGCCTGCAACAAAGTTTCCGAGTTCACGCAGTCAGAGCTCGCACGGAAGCGTGGAAACTGAGGTGTTGCGTTTATTTGCTTATGCGCTGCCTTGTTTTACGACGACGACGATGACGATGGAGAAGACGGCGAGAAAAATTCGACACTTCTTCTTAGCACCTCCCTCCCTCCCTGAACGGGTCGTTGGATCTGTAAAACGATTCCGACCTTCTTTGTGTTGTCCTTCGCCCATGTGTATTGTGTGAGCTATTGGTTTTGGATCGCAGCGAGGCTGCAAAGGTGAGGCACCTTTCCCTCGATAATGGGAATTCTAAACAATCCAACTCCGAGCACGGCTCACTGGATCTGTGTTGTGCGTGTGTGGGTGTGTGGCATTAACGCATGAAAGGATACGACGATGAAACGATGAGGCTGCTCTGCCATATTGGTACCTAAGTGCCGTTTTATGGCCTCGTTTATGAACTGTTTTGTCGAGAGAGAGAAAGTGTGTAGGAGCGGTTCCACGAGTGTTGATTGTTCTTGTGTGTTCTGGTGGAACTCGGAAGGAAGGAAGGTGATTTTACGTGTGATTATGGCTATTTCTGTGAAGTTATATAGGCATCTGAACTACACAAATGCGCGCCTAGTCAAAATTACTGGAAAGCCTGGTGGAAAATTTTGCCTTGAAAATCGATAAAATTCCAGTAGAAACACATTTTGTTTATTCGGAACGACCTAGGGGGAAATGACGACTTCGGCACTTCGTTACCTAATAGGGAATAGGGAATAGGGAATAGGGAATAGGGAATAGGGAATAGGGAATAGGGAATAGGGAATAGGGAATAGGGAATAGGGAATAGGGAATAGGGAATAGGGAATAGGGAATAGGGAATAGGGAATAGGGAATAGGGAATAGGGAATAGGGAATAGGGAATAGGGAATAGGGAATAGGGAATAGGGAATAGGGAATAGGGAATAGGGAATAGGGAATAGGGAATAGGGAATAGGGAATAGGGAATAGGGAATAGGGAATAGGGAATAGGGAATAGGGAATAGGGAATAGGGAATAGGGAATAGGGAATAGGGAATAGGGAATAGGGAATAGGGAATAGGGAATAGGGAATAGGGAATAGGGAATAGGGAATAGGGAATAGGGAATAGGGAATAGGGAATAGGGAATAGGGAATAGGGAATAGGGAATAGGGAATAGGGAATAGGGAATAGGGAATAGGGAATAGGGAATAGGGAATAGGGAATAGGGAATAGGGAATAGGGAATAGGGAATAGGGAATAGGGAATAGGGAATAGGGAATAGGGAATAGGGAATAGGGAATAGGGAATAGGGAATAGGGAATAGGGAATAGGGAATAGGGAATAGGGAATAGGGAATAGGGAATAGGGAATAGGGAATAGGGAATAGGGAACAGGGAATGGGGAATGGGGAATAGGGAATAGGGAATAGGGAATAAGGAATAGGGAATAGGGAATAGGGAATAGGGAATAGGGAATAGGGAATAGGGAATGGGGAATGGGGAATGGGGAATGGGGAATGGGGAATGGGGAATAGGGAATAGGGAATAGGGAATAAGGAATAGGGAATAGGGAATAGGGAATAGGGAATAGGGAATAGGGAATAGGGAATAGGGAATAGGGAATAGGGAATAGGGAATAGGGAATAGGGAATAGGGAATAGGGAATAGGGAATAGGGAATAGGGAATAGGGAATAGGGAATAGGGAATAGGGAATAGGGAATAGGGAATAGGGAATAGGGAATAGGGAATAGGGAATAGGGAATAGGGAATAGGGAATAGGGAATAGGGAATAGGGAATAGGGAATAGGGAATAGGGAATAGGGAATAGGGAATAGGGAATAGGGAATAGGGAATAGGGAATAGGGAATAGGGAATAGGGAATAGGGAATAGGGAATAGGGAATAGGGAATAGGGAATAGGGAATAGGGAATAGGGAATAGGGAATAGGGAATAGGGAATAGGGAATAGGGAATAGGGAATAGGGAATAGGGAATAGGGAATAGGGAATAGGGAATAGGGAATAGGGAATAGGGAATAGGGAATAGGGAATAGGGAATAGGGAATAGGGAATAGGGAATAGGGAATAGGGAATAGGGAATAGGGAATAGGGAATAGGGAATAGGGAATAGGGAATAGGGAATAGGGAATAGGGAATAGGGAATAGGGAATAGGGAATAGGGAATAGGGAATAGGGAATAGGGAATAGGGAATAGGGAATAGGGAATAGGGAATAGGGAATGGGGAATGGGGAATGGGGAATGGGGAATGGGGAATAGGGAATAGGGAATAGGGAATAGGGAATAAGGAATAGGGAATAGGGAATAGGGAATAGGGAATAGGGAATAGGGAATAGGGAATAGGGAATAGGGAATAGGGAATAGGGAATAGGGAATAGGGAATAGGGAATAGGGAATAGGGAATAGGGAATAGGGAATAGGGAATAGGGAATAGGGAATAGGGAATAGGGAATAGGGAATAGGGAATAGGGAATAGGGAATAGGGAATAGGGAATAGGGAATAGGGAATAGGGAATAGGGAATAGGGAATAGGGAATAGGGAATAGGGAATAGGGAATAGGGAATAGGGAATAGGGAATAGGGAATAGGGAATAGGGAATAGGGAATAGGGAATAGGGAATAGGGAATAGGGAATAGGGAATAGGGAATAGGGAATAGGGAATAGGGAATAGGGAATAGGGAATAGGGAATAGGGAATAGGGAATAGGGAATAGGGAATAGGGAATAGGGAATAGGGAATAGGGAATAGGGAATAGGGAATAGGGAATAGGGAATAGGGAATAGGGAATAGGGAATAGGGAATAGGGAATGGGGAATAGGAATAGGAATAGGAATAGGAACCATAGCTGCCCTATTCAACCCCTCTCTCGCCATCTCTACCGGCGACAGCTAACCGTCAAATTGATGCCATCCACCGGTGTGGGTACGAAGCTATTCGAATCCATCAACAACTCCGGCTCCGTGGTCCCCGACAGTTCAAAGTCGAACCTGGCCAGCAGCAGCGACAGTCCCACCTTGGTCAACATCTTACCCATTCTCATCCCGATGCAGATGCGTGGTCCATCGCCAAACGGAGCGTACGGTTTGGTCCTCACGTTTGCCTCCTGAAATCGCTCGGGCTCGAACCGCATCGGTTGCGGGTAGTACTGTGGATCGTGTTGCATTCCGCCGAACTGAAGCACCACGGCCGTTCCCTTTTCGATGATCAAATGTGAACCGGGGAATTTGTAGTCTTGGGTGCATTCTCGGTTCAAAATCGGCACTGGTGGGTACTTTCGCAAGGTTTCATCGATGCAGCATTCCAAGTAGCGCATCTCCGTTATGCCTTCGTAGGTCAGCTCGCCACCGTAACGTTCCATGACGGAGTCGATTTCCTGTTGAACTTTACGTCGAATTGTGGCGTTCTTAGCCAGTTCGTATAGGCAGAACGACATCGTCGTGGAAGATGTTTCGAATCCGGCTAGAAAGAATACATACGCTTGCGCGGCGACTTCTTCTAGCGAAAGTTCCTTTAACTGGTTGGTTGCATCCACAGTCCACCGTTCATCGTCCGAAACGGTACCCGTATTGCGCAACTGCAGCAGCAGTTGCATCATGTCCTTCCGTGTTATACCATTCTGTTCCCGGTATTCCAACGTCTCGCGAACCACGCCCAGCATGAACCGCTCCACGTCGTCATCAATTTTAAGCTTCAACAACCTGTTCAACTTCGGCACCATATACGTCAACAATATGCGCATGTTGTTGCGGAGGCTTGGCTCAAACACCAAAAATAGAATAAATGTTTGCCCCATTAGATAACTGTATCATTCAGAGTTTTTGAAGCACACCTACCTTACGCCCCATCTGGCGGAACGGTTCGTTGGGATTGTTGATCGAATCAATCTGAATCCCGAAAGCTACCGACACAATAATGTCTGTAGTGTAGCGAGCCAAAATCTCCCGGATCTCAACGACTTCGCCGCACTCTGCATACTTCTGGATGAAGCTCTGCAGCACTACACCCGTATCGACCAGGGTCTTGAACATGCCTTTAAGTTTTCCGCTAGTAAAGGCTGGCGTCAGCTTGGTGCGAAGATGTTTCCACTTTTCACCGGCCAGAGAGAAGAGATGTCCGCCGAGAGGATCGTTCTCTTCGTCGACGTACGAGCCCCGGTCGTGGAAGTGTTGAAAGTCCTGCACCATAATATCCTTGGCCAGCTGGGGATCATTCACGAACAGCATCGGACGTAGTAGGACGTAACCGCCGAGTAGGGGCCATTGTTTACTGCGTTGGTAGAGCTTTTTACAGACCTCCGGAAAGGATGCCCTACCGCGGAAGAGATTCGTAAAGTTTCCAAACGGGAATAGGGGCATTAGCTGCGGGATCTTTCGTCGCTTCCAAAAGCCAAAGACATAATTTAAAAACCCACAAGCGGCAAAGCATAGCAGCACCAGTCCTACCGCTAGCGGTGTCATTTTGTAACTGACGGTTGACTCAAAACCGAATCTGATTCGAACAAATGCAAATCATTTGAAACGAATGGCATGGAACGAAAGCGTTTAGTTCAGTTGGAATTTGTTGCAGTGATTGGGGTGGCAGGCCTTAAAATCAGTACCAACCAACACTGGCCACTGCAATCATGTTCAATTCATCGTACGATCCGAAACGAAAAATTTGGTCCGGTCTCAAGCAGCCGGGTCCGTTCAATCCGCAGGCCAACCTAGGCCAATTGATTTTGAACTTGCTCGACCGAAGCCCAACCATGGTGGCCCAGATCTCCGTTGAATCCGGTGTGGAACTATCCTGCGAAGAGATGCGCCTCCGTTCAATACGTGCCGCTCAGAACTTGACCAGGTTGGGTTACACGAAAGGTGACACGATTGGTTTTGCCGTGAGGAATCGCGAAAATGTTGCTCCTATTGTGTATGGATGCTTCCTGATTGGGGCTCCGGTGAACTGTATTGATCCGGATTTTACGGCTGTCGATATGGCATACATGTTCGGGATTAGCAAACCGGTACTGGTGATAGCCGACGAAGACAACGTTGATACGGTGAAAACGAGCTGCCAAACTGCGGGTATAAGTCCGAAGTTTGTCGTGATGGATCAAGCTCCCGGCGATGATGATCCGTCCGCTTTGAATGTAGTTAAGGAGACCGGGAACGAACAGCTATACTAGTGAATAGAACCTCAACTAAAAAATCGTAATACTACGAGCGATCTTAAAATCCTTACCTTGTTTCAGCCCATCATATCTGGGTGATTCGGAGAAGCTGATCGCTGCGATCGTTTTCTCGTCCGGAACTACTGGAATGCCCAAAGGGATTTGTCTATCACATGCCAACATCATCCATCAAAATGCGTTGATATGGTAAATCAGGTACATTTTATCGAGATCCTGCGTTAATCTATTTTCCACCAGCAACAGCCTCACGCACCAATTCAAGACGGCTTTCTGGTTCAGCTCCCTTTACTGGGTATCCGGGCTTCTGCAACTTATTCAGGGCCCTTTCAACAACTCCACCCGGTACATCTCGACTCGCCGATTCAGTCCGGAGGCGTTCTTTGAAATCGTCGAACAGTACGCACTCACGCACGTCTTCTCCTCGCCGGCCCAGATGGCAACGATCCTTCAAAGTCCTCTGCTGAAGCAAGCCGATCTTTCCAGTCTGAAGTTCTTCTATTCCGGTGGTGGACTAATGTCACCAGGACTTCGCAAGTCAATCGAAAAATCGCTGCCCTCATGCAGGACCGGTGTGGCCTATGGAACATCGGAAATCGGCCACATTGCAACGGATGTCTTCGGGCCTACACGGGAAGGCTCAGTCGGTGTGCTCGATCCAAACATTGAAGCAAAGGCTTTAGATGACGATGGGAATCCGGTGGGTGTTAACGAGAGGGGCGTGCTCTGGTTCCGGTACCCAATCAAACCGATGGGCTATTTGAACAACCAATCAGCTACGGACGAAATCCTAACAGCCGACGGATGGGTCTGCAGTGGAGACGTGGGGTACTTCGATGAGGATGGTTATCTTTTCTTGATCGACAGGAAGAAGGAAATTATCAAATACAAGGGCTATCAAATATCACCGGCGGAAATTGAAGCCACAATCGAGGAACTGCCGGAGGTGGCACATGTCTGTGTGGTTGGACGGTTTGATCCGGAGTTGCACGTTGACCTGCCGACGGCGGTGATTGAAGTTCGCAAAGATTGCCAGCTTGGTAAGGCTCGCGTGATCGACTATGTGGCTGGGAAGCTGGCGGACATTAAACGTCTACGAGGTGGGGTGTTCTTTGTGGAACAGATGCCGATGACTGCGTCCGGTAAGCTCCGGAGGTATGAGATACGGAAGTATGCCGAGCAGGAAAAGGGTGCCAACTGAATCGACTTCGAAGGATCATCGACTAAGGGAATACCATGTAGCTTATTGTTCCTCTTTGGCTTTATTATGACGCTACTAAGACTTTACACTGGTTCTCAACTTGATGTTCCTTGAGCACTTCCACAGATGTTAAATGAGAGCTTTCTAATAATACTAATACCATAGAGGTAACTCTAAGACCAGAAGGCCTCGAAGAAACGTGCTCAACATTTTGGCTCAGCTCTGGTACTCTCTTCGGTCCCAAGCTAATCGATGCACCCCTCGAAACATAGGAAAATCCACGAGCCCCTCATTTCATCTGTCAAACTTTCATAGCGAATCAAAACAAACATAGTGTAGTACTAGAATTTTGACTGGAATGGGGTACGCTAATCGATTTGCTTGGAACCAATAGGCTAGTCAAGTAGTGAGCCAATTTAAAATCATTAGTTTCCACGTTAGTGTTGCTCAATAAATCTTCGTGAAATTTACTGGTTTATCGTCAAGTAAACATATTTAGAATAATGTATTATAAAATTCAAGACGTAAGAGGAAACATCTTTCAATTAGTTCACGATAAAATCAACTTCAAGCCGTTGACTACAACTCAGAAGATAACCTACAAGGCTTTTGAAGTTGTTCCAATACTTCGTTCTCTACAGGGCTTCTCCTAAGAGATGTCTGGAGGTAACTAAATAGTAGAGTTCTATTTAGTTGCCAAATTGCACCACAAGTTCTCAAAAGTCCACCCTCCAATCCATCTTTAACGACGATGACGTTCATGTACATCATTTCTTCTACCCTCAACTTAGCTGAATATGAAGACGACCTTAACAGATAGATCAACTACCTGCATGAATTTGAATTTTGACACATCAACATTCTTTTAATCAAGGCAACCTCTGAGTATCGATCTCAACATTTGTGTTTGTCCATTTGTGGCTGGATCTTCATTATTGCCTGTGTTGTTGTCAGTATTAATATTCGTCTTCATCTTGGTGTGGAAGATTTCGAGGATCAATTGTAAAATGCTTATTTTCATATCACACCAATATAGCGCTGTAGAACGTGTTGTGCTGGGTATTGCCTCATGATGAATAGATGGTAATATCATAGAGGTAACTCTAAGACAAGTAAGTCCCGAAGAAACGTGCTCAACTTTTTGGCTCAGCTCTGGTACTCTCTTCGGTTCAAGCTAATCGATTCACCCATCGAAACATAGGAAAATCCACTAACCCCTCATTTTATCTGTCAAACTTTCATAGCGAATCGAAACAAACAGTGTGTAGTACTAGAATTTCGACTAGAATGGGGTACGTCAATCGATTTGCTTGGGTCCCATAGGCTGGTCAAGTAAGGAGCCAAATTAAAATCGTTAGTTTCGTATTGATTGTTGGTAATATCGAGGTTTAAGACTCTGATATATCTAGATGGAGCTGGAATTAGGGCGTAAAAGCTTTTGTAAACAATGACTTCTTTCGATGATTTATAGAAATTTAAGGCTCGTCAACACAAATAAACATCACCATCGGATAGGGGAAGACTTTTCCTAACCGACGGTTATGTTGGTTTGCGTGAGCGTGCTTTGAGTTACTAGAAATCATCGAGAGAAGTCATTGTTTACAAAGGTTGTTATGCCCTAATTCCAGCTCTATCTAGATATTTGTGTTGATGGTTTTGATTGGTTGACAGAAGGTGATATTTCAGCATCGTGTTCAGTTCCATCTGCTTGCTGGATAGTTGGTTGTGGTGCTTTCATCTGGTTCAACAGTCGATTTATGAGTTTCGCTGGATAGTCATTTGGTCGCAAGACATCAGAGATAACCTTCTTTTCCTGTTTGAGTGTTCGATTGATGGGTAAGCTGCTCACTCTGTGGATCAAGTTGACTGCAACATTAATTTTCATGTCCGTTGGATGGAATGAAAAGTAGTAGAGCAACCTGTCAAACGAAATTGGTTTGGTGTACCACTCTGTTGACAACGTTTGGTAAAGGTTGCGTACTCTCACCGTATCCAGGAAGGGTATTCGCCCGTCTACCTCGTCCTCCTTGGTGAACTGGATGTGTGGATTGCAAGCATTGAAGATGTTTAAATTTGAATCGATCTGGTCTGCTGGTAGCGCAATGATGAGGTCGTCCACAAATTTTCGCAGGACAGGTACTTCAAACGGCAGCTGACATTCTATGTTGCTCAGCAAGGCGTTCATCACTATGTCCGCGAGAATGGGTGACAGTGGACTGCCCATCGCTGTTCCGAACTGCTGCTCATATAATTTGATTTGTAAACGAAAGAAGCTGATGTTTGTTGTGCCTCTGATCGCGTCCCAGCCCATTATCAGATCGTCAGAGATCAACAGTTGTGGGATATTAGTGAATAAGGAGACAACATCGAAGAAACTAGTACCAACAATCAATACGAAACTATCGGTTTAAAATTGGCTCACTACTTGACTAGCCTATTGGTCCCAAGCAAATCGATTAACGTACCCCATTCTAGTCGAAATTCTAGTACTACACAATGTTTGTTTTGATTTGCCATGAAAGTTTGGCAGATAAAATGAGGGGTTCGTGGATTTTCCTATGTTTCGAGGGGTGCATCGATTAGCTTGGGACCGAAGATAGTACCAGAGCTGAGCCAAAAACTTGAGCACTTTTCTTCGGGACCTTCTGGTCTTAGAGTTACCTCTATGCTAGTACGTATCCCTCCGGTAGCGTTATGTTAAACATCCGCAAACTCAAAGCTGTCCCTGATGTTGTACTCCCATGTAACATTTCATTGGTTTTAAAGCATGCTACAAGTCTAAATCATGGTCTACAAAACCTTCATAAAACCAAAATTGTTACTTGGGCTCACTGTAGGTGGCTCTCTGGAGGATGTCAGCCAGATACTTTGACAGTTGATATGTAGGTGCTTTAATGTATAGTCGCTATATACATAGTCTGGCGGATAAAATTTCGATCTATCAAAAAGCAGAACCAATTCGATATATTTTAGACCAACAATTGAAAATGTACTATCAACTTTTATAAACAAAACGTTGATTATTCTTTCTTCGTCAATCGAACGCAGATTACCGGATCGGATAGGGGAAACTATAGTCACGAGATAGATAGGGGAGCCTTGAGTCACGAGAAAAGGGTTTCCGAAGGTTTGTTCGCAATAGCTGATGTGCTCTTTTATGTTGTTAGTCGTGATTTGCTCGATTGGTTCCGCTATTTGACAGCTCAATTGGTTGCCGAAATTCTATCCGCCAGACTATGAATATAGCGACTATACTTTAATGTTGAGCACTACGGTACAGAACAGAAGGGGAAGTGCAAACAAATCGATGAATCAAAAGAGGTTCGTTTTGCTGCTCAACAAGCAATGTGTTGTGGTAGCGTTCCATACGGGCTTTCTATGTGCACTCACACTATCATACCATGCTGCCTATCTTAACTGCAGGCAGAAGATGCCTTGTACCGCTAGGTGCGCTAGTGTTCGCAAATGACAAGTGGAGCCACTTTCTGATCCGAAGTTCCACTCGTGTGACTACGGGATTGTTGATTTCAGTCGGTACTTGGTGCGCGGATCTATCAGCTTTAGGTTGTACAGACGTGCCACCATCGTGTTTGTGTGTCGTTGGACGCTTACCGTGGGATCCCTGGGTACCACTTCTCGAGTATGGTCAGCATCTTCCGGTTGTAGTCTTGTTGGTACATCATAGCCATCCTACTTCCCTTGCCCGACTCGAGTATGCAAACATCGAGAACAAACAAAGGAACCTCCTGCGTTGCTTTGTTCGTTATCATTGCAAGTATCGATTCGACATCTGCTAGTAGATAGTACACAGGTATCTGGTCCATGGTGAATAGGGGTGCGAGAATTTCGGAACCAGGCTCACCAACACCTGTATTTCTTCTCGAACATCTATGGACGTTGCATTCAGGATGGCTTTCACGTTCAATGTTCTGTCGATCTGACCCGACTTATCCACTAGGTGTTGAAACTTGACATTCGTCCTTGCTTCTTGTAACGCCATACAGGCATCGTAGGACTGATTTTGGGACTCTATGAACCTATCCACGGTGTCGAAAGCAACCCTTCTTCCCAACTCCGTTCGAATTTGAGTAGTTTCCTGCTTGAAACATTTGATATTGTGGTACTTGTGACTAATGATTCTGTGGGAATATAGGCAGGAATATGTTGACGTAATACTCGCTTGATTGAAAGCCGAGAACACCTCTGCACTTCCACGAGATATCAGTGGGATGTTGGATAAAAGGGTTGGGATTGCAGCAGGTTTCGTTTTGGTAAACGATATGCTAAATTGATGTTCTAACGATTCAATAGCGCAAAGGAGCGTGGGATTGAACCCACGGTCTTCTGCTCAGCAAGCAAAAGCGGTTGCCACAAGGCCACCGAGCGCATTATATCACAAAACAATTACGGTCAAGTTTCCGTTCAACTTGTCAACTTGACCTCACCGACGATGACAACAACTGCTCTTGAGAAGGTTTGATTTGCATTTTCAATCCACACGTCTTTTCTGAAACTCTAATATTACATCTCTTACGTATATTTCTATAATGTGAAGGAGCTATCTAATCTACGATTCCACACACTATAAATATCATTTTACACATTAGAAAATCTAATCGATCAGAATAGATTGTGCATATGTTTTGGAACAACCGAATTTTTGGGCCAAAGGAACAACAGGATCGAGAAGTTAACGTTTCGCAATTCCGGAATCTAAATACTGTTTTGAATAATGGGTGTAGGTAATGGACAGCAACAACGGTAAACGGATAAATGATTTACAGGTTTTATTTATTAAATACTTTATATAATTGCCAGCAACGCCGACTGGACGTATCATATGGCTTTCCCTCCCTATTAACAAAATTCCACCCTTCCCGTGACACTTATGAGGGATCGTAGAGTTCTCTGCATCTCTCTTAAGTAAGTGTCGGACTAACATTCCTATCCCATCCCCGCCAGATGCAAGGACGATGTCAGGACAGCTCTAGTCTGTTGGA